GGCCCCAGTTTTGCCAGCAGTTGTTCACGGGTGGGCGCTTTGTGGGCGGCCACGTCTTAGTGCAGAAGGAGATCTAAGTTGAATAAGTTTATCAAAGGCTAGCCTGTTGCCTGGTCAGGACTTCGGCTAATCAGACGGAAGCTGATTAGGGCACAGAGTTTAATGAGACTCCAGTGGTTCACCTTTGGGCCAGTTATTTGACTTTTCCTTGGCCATGGTCCTCTGCTAGTATGTACATCAACAGGGAAGTGATAAGGGCATGGGGTATAGGGTTTTTGCCACCTTCGTCAGCTCTGCCATTTACTAAATCTGGGGTCATCACGGCCTTTCATGATTCTCAGTACCATGGTGCTAACTCATTGGGTCTTCCCAGTAACTACTGTCAATGTGCCTAGCACAGAGTAAGCCTTCCGTAAATGGTCACCATCATCGGTGATTAATGTCACTGCGAACAATCCCATTGGTAGAGCACCAGCAGCGCGTGCTCTGGGCTGGAGCAGTGGCTGGGGGCACTGACCACAGAGCTTGCCTGGCTTCAGGGAACGTCGCAGCCTGAGACTTGACTTCTTGAGCTTTCATGGAGCTATTTCAGCAGAAAGAATAAGTACTACCGTTTCCTGGGGACAGCCTCCTCATTCTTTTTTTTTTTTTTGAAAAACATCCCTTTAATCAGAAGGGCTAGCTCTTTCCTGCTTTCTTTCCTTTTTCCTCTGTCACTTAGTCTGGAAGTTCACTTATTTGCCTCTGGATTCCTAGTAACCCTCTCATGGAATGCTTCCTTTCGGCCAGACCTGAATTCCTCTCGGCAATTTGGCTAGATCCTCTGTGCAAAATTTCCTTCCCTTTGGCTTTTCTATTTATAACTCAGCCTCATTCTGGCTTTGATGTGGGGGCTTCTCAGTCAGTTAAGGTTGTTTCTTATCTTAATACCATAACTTCCGTGGCTTCTGTGGGTGAGATTACTTCTCACTCTGGCACGTGGATATTCCCAGACTCATTTTGATTCTAAATAAGGCTGAGTAGCTTAGATGTTCAGAAGTTTAATTCTACGATCAACTGTAAGACACCACTGTGAAAGTATTGAAGGCAAATGTACGTGTGTGTGTACCCGTGTGCACCTGTGCTGTGTGCTCGTGTGTGTGTGTTCTTGTAGGTCTTTGAGTCTCAGTGTCTCAGAAGACACTCTCATAGGAACGGGCAAAGTACGTTACCGGATGATTCACGGGAGTAAATAAAACTGAACACACAAGGGGAAAGGTCCCACTTTAATAGCTGTTAGACTAAAGCAGTAGCTTTTAAAACAGAAGACATGTTTAAAAAGAGACTGCTTTAGTGCCTATGACCTGATAGATTGCTATTGGGAGAAAAGCCAATTTGTCACAACTGCCCCACCAAGCAGTGTGGCGCTAGGTATCAAAAACCTGACCTGTTCTGACCAACCAGCCCCTGCTGCCCTCCCCAACCCAGTCATTTCATTCTAGATGAAATAAATATTCTATTCTAAGAAAATGTTCTAAGTTTGAAATGGTCAACCTGAAAGTATGTGTCATAGCATTATTTAAGATGTCAATCTTGGAAGCAATCTTAAATGCCAACGATGAGATAAATTCAGCCACAGTCAAGCCCTTCATTGATTGGCCATAAGGAGGCCATTAAAATCTCCACAGAGAAGAAATAATAACAAGGGAGTGTTTATATCAAACAGGGGAGGGAAGCTGGAGACCAAAATGTATCTGTGAAATGAACATAATCCTGCAAAGCTATGCAAAAGGAGTGTGAAAAGAAATATCAGTGCTAATAATGGTATTTATGTGATGAGATTATTGATGACTTGTGTTTTGATTTTTTTCTTAAATTTTTCTGAGCATATGTGTCTTATTGTAGGGAAGTTTGATCCAAGATTATCCAGTACAGGCTGTTTGTGTGCACTGTGGACTTTTGCTTGTTCATATCACGCGGGCTAGTCCACATGTGTGTCTTTCTCCAAAGGCTTGTTACCGTGGAGGTGACACTTTCCACCATGGAACCACCCCTGTTCTGTAGAATTTCCTAAATGTTTCAAGTGCAGTTTACAAGGCTCTGCCTTTGAGAACTGAGTACTTACTGTCTTTGAATTTCCTCGGCACATGAGAGCTCACATTCTCACTGGATTTATCCTTTGTGTCTTGTCAACCGTCTCTTACCTTCTCTAGTCCAAAAACATTGTGACTGGAGCTGATTTTCTTTTAATGTTATGTTTCTAGACAATGGGCCTTGCTTGGGATATAGAAAACCAAACCAGCCCTACAGATGGCTGTCCTACAAACAGGTAAGTCAGACCCGTGATTTTGGAGGGAGTCTTTTGTGAATGTGGTGCCCTGAGCTAATTTGGTCTGCTTGGGGGTCTTGACTGCTTCTTTTTTTCTCTCTCTTCCTCTCTCTTGCATAGGTGTCTGATCGAGCAGAGTACCTGGGCTCCTGTCTCTTGCATAAAGGATACAAGCCATCACCAGACCACTTCATTGGCATCTTTGCTCAGAATAGGCCAGAGGTAACCATACTGAAATTAACTCAAGGAAATGAGCCAGGGCTAAGTCTAAAGATCTGATACCCTACCCCAAATCCAGCTCTCTAGTGCTTGCCGATGACTTATCAAAGCTATTTAAAGACCTTAGAGTCTTTAAATATTGCTCCTTGAGAGAGTTACGGCTCAGGACCTCTTTAATGCCTGGTTGAATGTCTAGTGCTACGTGCTAGGTGACTGGACTTCTCTTACGTGTCTACCGTTGTGTGTCATTTAAACTGGCCTATTGTATGAGGAAAGTAAGGAAGCTATGAGGGACTGGCGAGTGAGACCTTGAGGATGATGTGGAAAGGGATATATTCGTATTAGAGCTGAAACTTGTTGGGGGGAACCGTATAGCTCAGTGGTAGAGTGTGTGCTTAGCATGCGAGAGGTCCTGGGTTCAATCCTCAGTACCTCCATTAAAAAAATAAATAAACCTAACTACTCCCCCACAAAAAATAAAGGCACAGTTATTTAAGTTTCACAACATTGTAAACTGACTATACTTCAATGAAAACAGAGAAAAAAAGGAAGGCAATGTAACTCTTTTTAACTTAAAAAAAAAAAGAATTGAAACTTACATGTTGTACCTGAACTAGTAACCAAGCCCTCCATTTATCCTGAGACCAGCCATACCCATCTTGACCGATGAATTGAAAGCAGATTTTAGGCACTAAGATGCTTGGAGTTAAGTTTCTCATCTCCAAGTTCAAGTTAAGTCTTTAGGCCCAGATCCTCAGAGAAGGTCTTTGTACGCTTCAGGATAGTGGAGTGACATTTGTTCACTCGAGCCAGTTGCTTCACCGAAAATCTGAGGGGGCACTGGCTGCACTTTTCGGTGAATCTGCGTGCCCCCTCTTTGTTACACCCACCCTCAGTAAGAAGAGATTTCCTTGACTCTAGTTCAGGAACTCAACACCAAACCTAGTGTACTATTAATACCACAAACTGGTGGCTTAAACAAAAGTGTTTTCTCACAATTTTGGAGGCTGGAAGTTCAAGGCCAAGGTGTCAACAGGTTTGGTTTCTCCTGAGGCCTCTCTTCTTGGCTTGCAGACAGCCACCTTCTTGCTGTGTCCTCACAAGACCTTTTGTCTGTCATTCCCAGAGTCTCTTCCTCTTCTTATAGGGACAACACTTACATCAGGGCCCTGCCCTTCTGACTTACAATTAGTCAGACACCCTTATGGTAATTAACCTTAATGTCACCTTAAAGGCACTGTCTACAAAAACAATCACATTGGGGTAGGGCTTCAACATGAATTGTGGGGGGAGGGGAGAATGCAGTTCAAAACCCCTAGACTGACATTTAAGGTCCACCGGTAGCAGATCCTGACCCACCTTTCCAGTTCTTTTCCTGTCACTCTTCATGCTTGCTGATGTGGACATAGTGATGTCATGCAGTCCTACCTTGTTCATTCACTTCTTCCTTGAATGCCTTCTCTGTCTCCACCTCCATAATGAAATCCTACCAGTCCTTCAAAGCACTGCCCAATTTCCATCACTTTTCCCAAAGTGGTCCCAGAGAGCCTTACCCCCCACCCCGAAAGTGACCCTGCCTCCTTCAGCCTCCCTGCTGCTCTCCATAACTCTTATGGATACAACTTATCACCCTCTGCCTCTGTTTTATAGTTGTCTCTGCCTATCTTATCTCCTTTATTTAATTATATTTTACAGCATCAGCAGTGGCAGTCCCTTGGGCACTACAGTGATTTTTTTTTTAAACACACGACACAAAATAAGCCTTTGTTGACTAAATGATAGGATTAATACTTTTCCTCTTCCGAGTGTGCTCTAGGCCTTACTTGAACTTCTCTCCATACAGTGGGTCATCTCCGAGTTCGCTTGTTACACGTACTCCATGGTGGCTGTCCCCTTGTATGACACCTTGGGAGCAGAAGCCGTCATATACATCGTCAACAAGGGTAAACTTTGCTCTTACATTTTAACTTGATTCTTGTTCAATGCTGAGTAATTCCTCAAGATCTGCTTTTGTCAGCAAACTTAGAATGCTGTCACCAGAAAAACGCTCAAGTCTTTCTTGTCCTATGGTACCTAGGATATAATGTAGAGGGAAGTTACAAAAAACCCACAAGGCAGGGAGAGACTCAGATGGAGGTTTCGATGAAATGCTTCGAGGTGGTGTAGCATGACAATACAGTTTAAAGATAAGACTATTTTCACTGGCCGCACTGGATGAAAGGCCATAGAGTTAGTGAATAAATCACTTAATTGACTATGTCACCGGGAAACTGCTGGCTTAATTTCCTATTCTTATAGCTCTAAATCAATAAAGTTAACCAGCAGGGACCAAAGTCCATTGCGAGTCTGTAGGGAAAATTACCATCGTAAGAGAAACAGTTCAGGCTCGATGGGCAAGTAACACACATACCAGATGTTACTTTCTGTCACAGAACTGATAGCTTCAGTGAGTAGACCCATTTGAACTATAGACATAATCAGAAGTTTTCTGTTTATGTAACTAAGTATCAAAGCAAATGCTTACGTTAAAAGTCCTAAAAAATCATAAAATGCTTATCTGCTAAAATCCCCCTTGCCCCTCCTTTCCTTTCTAATCCCCACTTACCCCGCCCCAAAATAAAACACATTGACAGGACCACATCTAAGTGATTTATACACGTTGTCTGTATTTCTAAGCAGGAGGAATTTTGTGGCTCCGCTAGAAACTATAAACTGTTGGCAGCTTGCAAGAAAACTATGTATTTCTGTTTCAATTAAGCTTATTTATTATCAATGGAATGTCTCAGATTTTATACATTTTAAATCTGATTTGCAGACATAATCTCCTTTAGGAACCCAGTAGCTTTGAAACTTTCAAAAACCTCTTCCTCCTTGCAAGACCTTCAGGCAAATCAGGAGGGTGACCTCTGCTCTGCTTCTGTTTTCAGCTGATATCGCCACGGTGATCTGTGATACGCCCCAGAAGGCATCAGTTCTGATTGAGAACGTGGAGAAGGGCCTCACCCCAGGCCTGAAACTGATCATCCTCATGGATCCCTTTGAGGACGACCTGAAGCAGAGAGGAGAGAAGTGTGGAGTTGAGATCTTATCCCTGTTTGATGCCGAGGTAAGGATCTGAAACTCAGCTTAGAGTTCAAGGTCTGGTGTGATGCCACAGGCAACTTGCAGGACTTCTACACAAGGGAGCAGACTGCTGTTCTCCAGAGGTGGCCCAAGAGGAGTAAATTGGACTCATGCTGTGATGCTTTGAGAATAATTTCCCCAAGACAACTCAGAAACCATGTTAGTGGGTGAGAAAGACCGATGGCCAGCATCCAAGTTGAGAATTTATAAATACAGAGGTCAGTGGTGGTCAAGGATGTGGTCCTGGAGCCAGGCTTTCTAGGTTCATGTTCCAGCTCCACATCCCTTAGTGAGATGGCGTTGGGCAAATTACATCTCCCTTTCCCTCTCTGTAAAATGAGGGTAAAACTGTCCCTACTTCACAGAGGACTTGTAAAGTGTTAAACGAGAGAGCATCTGTAGTCCTCAGGACAGTGACTCGTAGGTAGTAAGTCTTGAAATGTCAAAGATTCATATTATTCAAAAAGATTTAGCAATGGCCCCAAATGACTGAACCCTGGGAGTCTGGTGGGAAGTTTGGACATGGGGACCTGCCCTCTTGAGTTGGTATTCTAAGGAAAATTTATGCTCTTCCCTGAGGTTTCCATGGTGCCTGAATGTTGGCTTCTGGGCCTGATCCAGGTTGGAAATGGGGTTGTATTCCTACAGAAGTGTTCTCATGGAAAGGGGAAAGGAGGGCTGTATTTGTCCCAAGTCTGTCCATCTCAACTAATGCCTTTCTTTCATGGTTTTCTGTTCATGTAGAATCTAGGCAAAGAGAACTTCAGAAAACCGGTGGTAAGTTTTCTTCTACTCAAATTTGAGTCTTGCCATATTCAACTTTCAAAGCTCACGGTAGACTAAGCCCTTGTGCTTCTGTCTCCAGCCTCCTGCCCCAGAGGACCTGAGCATCATCTGCTTCACCAGTGGGACCACAGGTCAGTACCCAGGAAGCTGTCCCAGGGGCCCCTGGTCAGCCAAAAGCATGGCTTGAGTCACTGACCCCTTCCTGGTGGGCTGGTAAATAGACCCTACCATGAGCCCTGTCCTCGGGAACTTACAACCCAAGACTTCTGAGTATGGTTGCCTGCACAGAGAGACCTAACCACAAGCAAATGAACTTCACTGAACACACTGGGAGGTGTTTACATGCTGTGGATTTCGGGGGTCTTAAAGATGGCATCACCAAGTCAACTTTTTTCCCCCAACCCACCATTCTCTCACTTTGACACCACTGGAACAGTTTCACCCAATCAAGGTAACCCAGTGATACTCTCCACAGACCGCTGGGTGCCCCACCCCCCCCTGCCCTGCCCCGCCCCGCTCCCTATCTATTAGATCTCTTAATAAATTGTAATGTGACCCAGGATGACCTGTAGCTATTTCCGTTCCACTGTGTCCAGTTTATAAGGTGATAGCTAGGTCATATTTTTAGGTCTGAAGTCTTAGACATAGAAAAAAAAAGCACAAGGTGGGTTACTTAGATCTTACTTTTGCACTGTGTTGCTATCTGAGATTGTGGCTGTGCACTGGGTGGTAGTAGAGGGCTGATGATGCTGTCAGCAGTAGAATCTCTGGGGGCATCAGTCATAAACAGAGTCATACATCATTCATAAAAAGACAAAACGACAGGAGAAGCTCTTGGTTCCCTGGAACAGAACCAGTTGAATGTAGCCTCTCATTTCAATGACAAAGGCAACCTGTTAACTATGTAACGGATCTTTCCACCTTTTGTTTCCTACAGGTGACCCCAAAGGAGCCATGATAACCCATGAAAATGTTGTTTCAAATGTTGCTGCTTTTCTCAAATTTATGGAGGTCAGTGATCAACTGAAAAAGACACCCTCGTTAAAATGTGAATCTGTCATAAGACTTTAATCTTCAGGTTAGAGGAGGCAGAGAGGGAAAATGACAGGTTTAAAGCCTGAGGGTTGACAAAGACTGGTGCATCTTTGTCTGGAGGACTGTGCGTTTCCAAGTTTTACTCTTAAGAATCACTGCCGGTCTCTCCACCCAGTGCAGTTAGGGCATCTCTTAGATTTGCGCAGTGCACACTTGTGCAACTGTATGTGGCGGTCCTAGAAAGAAGTAGTGCTTAAATCTTCTTTGGAAGAGAAAGTTGGCATTAATCGAATGTTGTCTTCCTCCCATTCCCTGATCTCTAGTATTCTTTCGAGCCCACCCCTGAGGATGTGGCCATATCCTACCTCCCCTTGGCTCATATGTTTGAGAGGGTTGTACAGGTAAGGATTCTGTATTCCCAGCAGGTATGTGAAAAGAGGGTCCTGACTTGCCCATCCCATGTTCACTGGAAAAGGCAGCTTTACAGGATTTACAGTCCTTTCTCTCATGCGAAGGGCATGGGCAGGGAGCAGGCCCAGCTGGGTCCTCATCCTGGCATCACCCCTGAGCTGCCGCAGGGCCTTCCTCTGTGGGGTCTGTGTGTCCGATAGGGGTGAGCACTTGCTCCTGCCTCCACACAGGGTGCCTGTGAGTCCAGGGAGGTCCTAGCCCGGAGCTTATTATCTACTCTTAATTCTGAGCTGGGATTTTAGGCACTGTTTCTTCTTTTTTCTTTGGTTTAGGTTAGAATTTTTGGAAAAGCTCTAGGGTTGGAGAACAGGAACTTCCCCACAGAGGGGCAGAGAAGGAGCATTTGATCTGGGTGAGGTGTGTGGAGTGTGGAAGGTGGAGCCCCTCCAGGATTGTTTGCTCCCCAGGGGAGAGCTGGCCTTCTGTGAGTGGGCAGCAGTCTTTTCAAGCTATTCTGAGGCTGATTTGAGAACTGAAAGTAAAAGCACGGGTAAAAGTGTGGATGGAAAAATCCTTTCTCTGCTCTCCACTTGCATGCTTTTCAACCAGCCTGTCTGTTGTTGCATGAAATGCCAAAATGGAATATTCAGTTCCTTGGGCTAAAGTGTTGATATCTGATTAATAAAATATCAAATCTAAGAAGTCTATTTTTTAAATTGAAGTACAGTCAGTTTACAATGTTGTGTCAGTTTCTGGTACACAGCACAACGTGTCAGTCATACATATACATACATATATTCCTTTTCATATTCTTTTTCATTATAGGTTACTACAAGATACTAAATATAGTTTCCTGTGCTATGCAGAAGAAACTTGTTGTTTATCTATTTTATACATAGTAGTTAGTATCTGCAAATCCCAAACTCCCACTTTATCCCTCCCTACCCTCTTTCCCTTCTGGTAACCATAAGTTTTTTCCCTAGGTCTGTGAGTCTGTTTCTATTTTGTAAATAACTTCGTGTCCATTTTTAAGATTGCACATATAAGTGGTATCATGTGGTATTTTTCTTTCTTTTTCTGGCTTACTTCACTTAGAATGACAATCTCCAGGTCCATCCATGTTGCTGCAAATGACATTTTTTAATTCTTATTATGGCTGAGTAGTATTCCATTGTATAAATATACCACAACTTCTTTATCCGGTCATCTGTCGATGGACATTTTAGGTTGCTTCCATGTTCG